CGTATGGTATACATCGGCACCATATGTTACGCCGCTTTGTTTGCGTATAGCAATGACCCTAATATAAGACAATTCCTATTCACCATGGACGATTACTTTGCCAACAGTAAACAATTATTTGGCACATTTGTCCTAGTTACATTCCTATCGTACGCGGTGGTTGAATTTGCAGTAACCTATCTGGAGTTAACACAGTCATTGGAAATTAGCAAGTTCCTATTCCAGCTTAAGAGCAACTGCCTGCATTATCCGTTACCCAATTATCAAGCTAGATTCTTGGCCATACAGATGATGCTCTACCGGCGTGTAATTCTCACCATGGTCTACCCTACTGTGGTCATCTCTACGTGGCTAGCATTTACCGGTTTAATCCTAACTCAGCTAGTGCGATCAGATTTCACCTGGGATGTTACCCTCTTTAATGTGGTAGTTATAACAGCCGCGTTCATAATAGCGGGTGAAATGTACGGTATTATATGCATAGGCGTTGTGTTGTTTTATTTCCCCACTGTTTACTTGTGGCGTAAATTTATTGACATAAACCAGAAATTCACCATGGCAATCAAATATAACAACCGGCGATTGTTAATTGCCACTATTGCTGAGCACGACTATTGGCAGCGCCAGACCGGGCATATCAACCACACATTACGGTATATAATATTCATACTGTATTACATTGCGTCCATTGGCATCGAGTGTGTCCTATATTTTACCCATAAGACGGACACTACTCTGGCGGGCAGATTGATGAGTGTGATCATGATCACTTTTGATTTTGGTGCACTCATACCGCTAACAGGGCTGGCATTGGCGGTGCCGCGCGAAGCTCACCGCTCGTATGCCCGACTGCAACGGTATATGTCGTCGGCGGTAGTGCCCGGTCTGACCCCTAGAGATCGGCTCAAATTGGCCTCATTTGCCGAGTGCTTGTCTACCGGACCCTCAATTGGTTTTCATTGTCTGGATTTGTTTCCCATTACTTCTCATGAAATTTATTTATTTATTAATATCGCTGTCAGTAATTATTTCTTATTAATTACATTGTTTTAATTGTATAAGTTATGAGCATTTTATCATAATTTACGTTAACATTCTTATGTACCAAAACTATATTTATTTAAATATAGTATTTAGAAATGAATAAATAAGTGCTAGATAAATACTATCGTTGTATAACAAGTACTAATACTCTTTTTTAGCGTAATGTAAATATTAGGTCAAGTACTATATAAAAATATATTTCTATAAAGAATATTTATTTTGATTTACAATTTAATTTATATTTACACTTAACGTATATTTATATTTTATGCATTTAATTCACTTTATATATTTATTATAATTAAATTATTGACAAACATTAATAAAAATATAGAAACGTGTTGCAATATTTTTATTTAATTATCTAAATTGAACCAATAATAGTACATTTCTAAATCATTTGAATATTTAAATAAATTAATTTTTTTGAATTGCTATTCGCAACATGAAACTAATTTAATATAAATAGTAATTTAATATTATAAAACGCAAATCGTATAAAACATTAATTTATTAAATTTAAATGTAATTATGGATTATTTAAACCGTTGGGAAATATCTAATATTACAAAAAATTGTCTCATTTATACACCGATGAAATCAATGCAATTCTCCGATCAAATACTAAACAATCGGACAATTATTATACAACCTCTACAAATAATACCGTATATAACAATGCAGTAAGTTATAACAAGTAAATAATTAATTTTTCTAGGTGGACATTAATAAAATAAAACTAGTTTAAAGTATTATAAAGTTACTTTACTTTAACAAAGTTACACATTTTATTTAAACAGCAAATTTGATTTACAATACCAGTTATGCGGACCACTAATTGTCCTAATCATTGAAATGGCCAAACAGTGCAAAGCATTGTAAGTATAGTATACTTTAAATAATAATATAATAAAATAATAATTATTGTTAATAATAGTAAATTATTTTAATATAAATGAGCTTAATAAAATCTATTTAGTTTTTTAAATTATACTCAATGCTAGACTCGTATTTAAAGCCATTCCGTCATCAATACCTGATATATTCAAATCAATGTCTATTAATGGAGATATATTATTAATGCCATCAGCTGCAAGTTTATTTTTGCGATACCTTGGTCAAGCAAAAATATTCCATCTGGATTATACTGTATCTAAATCTATAGGCAATTATGAAATGGGTAATTTTGTGGCCAGAGCTATTCGCGTTGGATCAAGTCCATTTAAATTACTGGATGTTATGACATATTCAGCTTGGGCATTTAATTTTGCTCTATTATTTGTAATAACTGTTATATCTCCAAAATTTATTAGCAATTTAAATGCTTATTACGAGTATTTATATAATTATTTCATTACATTATATGCAAAATCAATGCAAAGATTTTTGCAAAAATCACCCAAAAAACTCATTATTGGGTTTTGGTTGATGTGGTGTCTAATGGTGTCCACACTATTCACTGCACATCTATTGGATTATATGGTGAGCGCCGAACCCATCGATCGGATCAACACATTGGATGAGTTGTCCCGACGGCCGGCCATCAAGTTATGGGTGCGAAACGACTCATCGATGGCTCCGTATGTAGAGTTGGCCGACACCGATGTGGCCAAAGCCCTGAGTCGGCAAACCATATCATACGCCATATCTTACCGGCGTTTGAATGACCCAAAAGTATCTACAGCTTTGATCGCAGGGCTCCGGAATGGGTCGATAGCCCTGTCCAGCAATAAGTGGGAATTGATTTTCATTATAATCAGTTTCGCAAAGATTACTACCGATAGAAATAACGAGGATTTATATGATTTGTTGCACATATCGGCCGATAGCGGCGGCGAAGAGCCGTACTTTGTTTTGCGTCCGATAAATGGATTTTTGATGGATTTAATCGCATGTAATGTTAATCTCTTTATTAAAGTTATTTTTTACATAATATTTTATTAAAATTTAATAGGGTTTCAATGAGTACAGAGTCTGGTCTGTACGACAAGTGGGTTAAAAATATATTGCATAATAATAGACATCAAATCGATGTCATATTTAACAAAGACAAGGATCCGGTCCACGATTACGATGCCCTCAAACTTAACTATATCTACGGTGTGTTATATCTATTGATTTCTGGTCTTATTATTTCAATCATATCTGGATTGAGTGAATTGTTTTACTATACATTTGTTGACAAACATTATCCAACGCGACGAGTTATATACAATCAAACATTTATGTTTAAACATTGATAAATAGTTTGTTAATTATTTGAAAATATTTATTAATAAATACAAAATTTATTTTTGAATACATTTTCAAGATTGTACTATCAAATAAAATATGAAATTAAAATAAATCGGTAAATTTATTCCTAACATTTTCAATAGAATATAATTCATAAGACATTACAAATTGTTTTTAAGCAAATTTAATGATTAGCATATAATTACTAATAACGGCGTAAACATAAAATGCAAACTCAAGAGAACTCATTGGGAATAAGTTTAGACAATAAAAGCAGATATCGTGTGAACACAACCTCTCTATGAATGATATTATAATATAATGCAAAATTGAATTTACAGTTCTGTTAGGGTTAATAACGAGAAGGTTGACCTTTGTTTTTTACTATTTGTTTATTTTAATATTATTTTACATTTCGCATATTTCAATTGTGATTTGTATCTTAATTAATATATTATATTTAAATTTATTTTTAAATATACACATAATACTAATCTATAATAATAATCACCTAGCCACGTTTCCGTTTCTTAGCCCCTGAGCCGCCACCGCCGCCACTGCACCCATACATAGTGTTGAGGGCCCGGGCGTCCAATGAGCTCATACTTCGCCTATTGTTTTGTGCCGATAGCCGGACACCACGTTGTTTGGCAGTCATCGTGTATTTGCCGTTTTTACTGAAATCTTTTGCCCCATAAATCATGATTGACTGGTAATCAAAGCCAACGTACAAATGATTCGCCGATTTGGACACTTTGTCATACTGTGAGGACATACCCCGAGCGATGTTTTGCCAGTGAATGGTCAGGTAGTTGTCCCGATCGGCCCGACTCTGCTCGTGGTAAAAGCCCAACGTATGTAGTATTTCATGTGTAGCCACCCCTACGTAATGACACCCATAGCCCAGCGATAGGTACTGTCGGCCACCCGTTTTGCCGATTGATGAATAGCACCTGGGTTAAAATTGACAAATAATTTAACACTGCTTTAAACATTTTCATACAGATAATTTAAAAATTATTTTCACCCTTGTCCTTTAAATAGTTGCAAATAATCATGTTGATTAGTCCGCTGTTTAAACCGCACACAAGATTGTGCTTGTATGTTTTTCATTGCCTGATTAATAACTCTACGTTGCGATGCTATGTGGTAACAAAAATATGAGCTTGTTAATTTATATTAATAATCATTACATTGTTTATTAATGTCATACACAATGAGTTATCGATTTGATAGTAAACAATACCGTTTGGCCACAAAACGGTGCGTCCGTACGAACCGCTCGACGACACCTTTTTATGTGTATTTCTCTTGTTTTGTTTCATTTGTATTATAACTTCTGTTAAATAATAAACTATTGGTTAGAAATAAATTTAATTATTTAATAATATAAAATTTTACCTCCATTTATACCAAACATGATGTAACAAATTATTATAAATAATAAACTATTTATCATATTAGTTTTATTGTATAACTAAAATATTTAATTCATCTACTTAATAGTTGAATATTACAATATATTACATTTATAGTTTGAAACTAGATTTATAATTTACAATAGTTTACATTCTTGGAATAAGTTTGTCATTTAATTTAAATATTATTTATTTTTAATCACAAAGAAAGCATCACATTTCTAAATCAGAGTAAATTTAACCAATATCAATGAATCAACAAATTATTATTTATTCAGTTGTTCAAAACTACAGTTGCATTGTTTACATAATATTGAAGTACATTACTTATTTCACAATGTTAATTTTTGTTGTATTGTTAACATACTGTTTGCATTATGTCAAAATATTAATTTGGACATTTATGGTTATTCAAATATTTATATTTAATAATTTAATAGATTATTAATATTAAATTATAAATTTGTTTTAATTTTACAAATAATATATTTGTAATATTAAAACATTATATTTTAATATCAATCGAAACATTTATTATAATTTAGTAAAATAATTTCAAAATCGCATTAAAGTTAATCTTTATAAATTTGCATTATACAATTTCACAACGAAAAGTACAATCCCATTATTGAGTGAAATTATACGCTCAAAGTTTATAATAGTCTCCCACATAAGTCATGTCATAAAATATTTCCCATATCATAACAACATAGCACACAATCAGACTATATGTCAATAAATAAAACAACGACTTTAACTCAAACATCGTTAGGGGTTCGTAGGGGTCAACCGGAGTGGCGTAAAAGTCGGACATTATTAGACCAAAATTGTCGGCAATTGTTACCACGTTTTCAAAATAATATTGCCCTTTCATTGCGTACATGTGCTGAAAAAGCGACGCCTCGTATAAACGCCGTGTGCTATCATAAGGAATATTAAAAGTTTGTTATAATAAATGAGCAGGATCTAATTAAAAATTTTAAGTTCAATAAAAACAAATATAGTAATTTCAAGTACATTAACTCAGCCTCATTAATAAACTTAAACGATGGTCCGTAACAGAGAGGTGTTATGAGCACCGGTAGGTAGGATTGGCCCGAATGAATGCGTTCAAATCGGGGCGCGTATGGCAACAGTTGGTCCATCATATACTGGTCGGCAACGAATACTATGTTTTTAATGAAACTGTGAAATCCATCTGGGTCATCTTTGAACGATTGAAACTTGTCTGGCCAGGGTGGTCTATCATACTTCCTAACCCTATTTGCAAACTTAATAAATGTCTCTTTAAAAGTGTTGTTCTCAAAGTATTTAGTAAATTCGCCCGAAGCCCACTCCTGGGCCTTGTAGTGATCGGTCAACACCACAAGCCTATCATCCAATAGATCCTCAATAGTATCGGCGTATGTGTCAGGTCTGGCCACCATTTTTGCCAACAACTCGTTGCGAATCACTTCCACCACTGGTATCAACGATATAAGCCATAGGATATACATATAGTTCCGGTGCCCGAGATTCTCGCCGATACCCAACAGTGGCTTAAAGTATATCCACGCGAAATAACCCACTCTGTTGTACCCCGTAACCAAACTGCTTTCCGCTATTGTTGCAATCTTATTGGTCAACAAAAGCATTATAAATACGCTAATTATGACAAACCAAACCCTGTATTCATAACACTTCCAAATGTCTATACTGTCGGGCAATGATTGCTGTACTTTAATGCTCATGAATACCAAGTTATCGGCCATATACAGGGGACGGATGCAGTTTAACGGCCTTGATCCATTAGGGTCCGTTCGCCACAAATAGTTCATGGGTGACCAGTCCGGGCCCGTAACGAGCCCTGTACTCACCTGTTTGTGTTCATTTATACGCCTGTCCGGACAGTTGTACGCATACAGATGTACACTATTTGATATTAGTATCATTAAAACGCAAATATTTATTACATCACTATGCTATTAAAATTAGCAAATATTAATATTACCTGTAATTAACTAATTTACCAATCTCAATCAGAACTGGCACGATTAATGAGCTATAATAAGCCGAATTTTCACCCTCGATCTCAAAGTACTCTTTCTATAAATAACAAGGTGTTATCATGTAATGTAATGATCATGCTAATAATTAACAGTTTACATCAAAGTATTCAGCCATCAAATAAAATGTATAGTTTTTATGCGGAAACGGGTCGTCGAGTATACTATAGTTGTCATACATTTTATACTCGCATCCAATATAAGTCATGTTTGTATTGTTGACATATTTTTGCCAATAACCCAATGGATGTGTTTCTATCCATTTGGTTACTTCAACCCCTTTTAATAGATCCTGGAACGACATTTCGAGCTAGTTTTAAATGATATGATTATTACCAGTAATAGTAAATTTTACAAATAAAATATTTATTTTGTTTTATAATATAATTAGATTCATTATTAATATTTATGATAATATTAATATTTAATAGCAAATTTTTCCAAAATGTAAATATTATTAATATATTGCTATTAATATTTATTAATGTAATCACATGGTAATATAATATTTAAATCACTGCTATTCTGGACAATAAGAAAATTATAAGAAACTCTTATACAAAATAATTAATTTGCAATTTTAATGCATATCGATTTAAATTGTATAGATAACTACAATAAAACACCTTAATGTAATAAATAATAAAACTCAACAAATGTCACCTCTAACTAGCGTTGCCAAATGATATTTTGAAAATCCTGTATAAATGTAAAAAATTTGCCCAAAATTCCTGTATTTTCCTGTATCACAATTTTTAACCACTATTCTGATATGGATAATGTGGTTTATAGAATCGTTTGCCCCCCCCCCCAGTTTAAAGATTCTAATGAGCTTAAATGGTACCCAGTGGGTACTACCCACTAATGTGACCTGGCGCGTTGGTCAAAACATTTATTTTTGCATAAAAATATGCATAACAATATAATATACAATTTAATATATTAAAATTATTTTAGATTGAGATTACACATAATTTATTTTGCAATGAATAATTTGAACATTTAATTGGAATAATAAAAAATTACATAATTGTAATTGTATTTAAAACATAATTTGTAAAATAATTAAAATAAATTTTAAGTTAAGTTTAAGTTAAATAATGTTTACAATTTGTAAAACAGAAATTCATTTCATAATTAAATGAATTATAATTCATAATAAAACATATGATTAAAAACAGACAAAGATTGATGTTTATTATGACGGCCGGAGTCATGGGTGCGACAGTAGGTGTGAATACAACTCCCGGTGCCATCACTTAGTATTGCCTAACAATGCAGTAAACAATTAAAAATAATTATAAATTTAATTTTAATTTAACTGCAATTTATTTATACAATTTTATCTTATTTTTTGAGATGCAATTTTGTTTAATATGATGTATGACTTATTAGCAGTTGCATTAACCGATGATACAGTGATTATGATAGCAATAAAACCACCACAGTAAAGCATAAAGCCATAGATTAATAGTAATCTAATTAAAACGATCATCTCGGTCCAAATAATTGTGTACAATAGGAACACAACACCCATACCAAGTGTTAGTAGTGTGACCAACCGTACACTTTTGAAGTGTACAGTACACTATTTGAGACTTCTGTACACTATTTTCAGACTGTACACTATTGTACACTTTTGGAAAATATTTCTATNACTATTTTCAGACTGTACACTATTGTACACTTTTGGAAAATATTTCTATTAAAAACTAAAATAATAAATATAATTGATACAAATCTAACTATATTAATCATACATATTTATGGTTAATTAATACAAAACTCATTATAATAGTCACACATTATTTATATCCAATTAATACAAATCTCATTATATTAGTCACACATTATTTATGTCGGTTGAAAGCATGGTTGTCTAGCGGCCCAATAGTCACATTTATTGTGTGTTTTGAAGTGTATTGTAATCAGTGTTTCATTGAGTTTTATGTAAATCAGTTGCAACTAACAGTAATCTGTGTTTAGTTTTTATATGACTTTTTAGTAATGAGTTGTTTGTAATCATGGCATCAAAAGATTCAAAGAAAAGGCGATTAAATCAGTTTAATAATAATTGGCTAATTAAACCAGAATTTAAAGATTGGTTAGCAAAACGAGACGAATTTAAATCATTTGTTAAATCAAATAATGAATTGATTAAATCTGTCAAATCTCAATCTAAGTATAAATTTAAAAATGTGTAAATTTTTAAAATAAAATGATATTCAATTGGATATAATTATGTGTGACTAATATAAAGAGATTTGTATTATTAGGATATTAATGTGTGACTAATATAATGAGATTTGTATTAATTGGATATTAATGTGTGACTAATATAATGAGATTTGTATTAATTTGTGACTAATATAATGGGATTTGTATTAATTGACCATAAATAATGTGTACACTATTTGTACACTATTTTACCCTCAATTTTATCAGTTTGTACACTATTGTCTAAAACAGAGTTGGTCACACTAGTAACAGATGTATTTATTCTATGATGACGAGTAATATAAATTGACTAGTGTAATAACTAATGTAGGTTGCACCTGAAGTTCAGCATTAAAGTTTTACTTTATATATGTATGTAACAAATATCTATGCGTTGAATACGCTATCTCTTATAAATATCAATACTACAATTTACAACGCGCGCTAAATCTAGATAATAGGGGACAGACTTACGCTTACCGGCGCTTCCCGGGACTGGCCGGACGTCTCCCGTGTGTCTCGACCGGCCACTCACGCGCGTACTTATTGTACATGTAATGAATGTGAGGTTTGAATGACATCTAAACAATTGTTAAAATGTTGACAAATTATGTTATTTTAGAGGAAACTGAAAGCGGAAATCTGTAATAAAACTATCGCTTAAAGTATTAATTCTTGGAAATTGTATTTAAATTCTAGCAATAAGTAAATAAATACATTTAAGTACAACATTTAGTAGC